GAAACGAGCCACAAGATTTTATCCTCCATGAATACACATGAAAATGTCTAGCCAAAGACATTAAAGAAAGGCGCTATTTGGGAGGCAACCCAAGACTATTTGTTTTAGTTTTCATGCATTTTTGAAGTTTTAGTTAAGTGTTAGTGTTAATTAATGGTTTGATGTTTGGTGGCAGGGAAATAGCAGTTAGACGTGCCCACGCCAGGCGGTCACGCCTGAGGAAAAGAAATTTTCGCTCAGGTTCTGCGAACTCCATAGGAGTTAGACGTGCCCACGCCAGATGGTCACGCCTGACGGAGAAAATTTTCGTTCAGGTTCTGCGGACTCTATGGCAGTTAGACGTGCCCACGCTAGGTGGTCACGCTAACGGATCGAGAATTTTCGACGGATGGTCAAAAAAGTCTAAGGGCAGTTAGGCGTGCCCATGCCTTAGCCAGAGGGTCCTTGACTAAAAAAAAAAAAAAAAAAAATTCCCAAAAACTATTTTTTTTTCTTTCTTTTCTCTCTTTTCTTTTCTTCTTTTTTCTTTCTTTCTTCTTCTTTCTTTCTTTCTTTCTTTCTTTCTTTCTTCCTCGCTGCCCTGCTTCCGTTTTCTTCTATTTCTTCTTCCGGCCGCCGCCCTTTCACCCATACCATCCAGCTCCACTACCACATCAATCAGCCGCCACCAGCCTCGCCCCGCGCGACCATCGCTCGGCTAGCCCTCCAACTCGCCGCGCCTCTCTCTTCCCACCAAGCAGCCGCGCGCCTCCCTCGTTCATCGTCGCGAGCTCTCGCCCAGGAGCCGCCGCGACCGCCGCCGCTCCCCTACTGATGGCCATCCACGCGCAGCAGCGCTCGTCCAGCCCGCGCCGCGCCATCGCTTCTCCTCGCTATCTCCCTCACTCTCCCTCACGATCCACCACCAAGGAGCTCCACCTCGCGCGCGCGACCCCAGCCCACGCCGCCTGTCCACGCCTCTCCGCCAGCTCCCCACGGCGCTGCTACCCCTGGGCTTACGCCACCACCAGCTCACCCAAGGCGCTCCGCCCTTCTTTTCTCCCGCCGTGGACTCAGCCTCCGCCGCGCCCCCCCCGCTCCAGCTCAGCCTCACCTCGCGGCCAGGAGCCCCCCTCGCGCACCACCAGGCGCGACAACCCCACCCGCGAGCTTTTCTGTCGTGCGGCTGTCACCACCTGTCCTATTTAGACAGGTGGAGGTATTGTGAATTCTGTCCCAATTAGTTTCACTCTCTGAAATTTGTGGTTGGATTTCTTGATTGATAAAAGAAGGTGATAATTTGGGCATTTTCTAGGGTCAATTTTGGACAAAATTGGGTTTAATTGCTATCTGTGGGGGTGTCTTCTGTTATTTATTGAATTGTTGGCCTTTTGATTACTTATTCCCTGCGACTCACCAGTGGTACTGGTTGAGATCTTTTGCCTATCGTTGTGGCTTATATTTGAAGATATTTGCTTATTTTGCAGTTTCAGTTCTTATGGTTGAGTTGCTGCCGTTGAATTTAATTCTTTCCTGTCTGTGCACCAGTGGTACTGGTTGCGGTGTTCCTTACAATTCTTAAATTTTCTCGAATTCTAATCGGTAGTTGCTGGAATTGCTTGTTTGCTGGGATTCTTAAAATTCTTAAGGCTTGGTATCTTGAAGTGGGTACTTGAATGTCCACTTGGTGACATTTGTTGAGTTTCACTTGCTCCAATTGGTTGAATTCATTGCTCTGTTGGGGTCCCTACTGGTATCACTTGACTTCTGCTTTGTTAGTTTCTGTATCGTGCCCCTTGATCTTATTTTGACTGAATTGGAGACCCAGTGCATATTCATTCAATTTGCTATGTTGTTAGGGTACTTTTCTAGCCTTTGGGGTGCCTCAGTCGTGTATTGTATTAATTGGGTTGGCTATGTGGTTCCCTCCTTTCCTGTGTATACACCAGTGGTACTGGTTATGCTAATTTGTTTACAATTTCTTATTTCGATATGATTGAGCATCTGTGACTGAGTATCCTTCAATCTTGTTGCTTTGTTGGGATCGTTTTTAGTGTCAATTGAGTATCATTTGGTACTTTTTGCCTGGAGTCTATTGAGCTGCCTTTGGTTGGGGTTTATTGCATTTAATTGGTGCATTGGATGGCTCCTGTGCCATTTCCGTTGCTTATTGAAGTAGGTTGCCTCTATTCGCCTTGTGTGGGAGTATTTTGTCCTTTTCATTTCAATTGCTAAATTCATTGGAGCACTTGTTGCGATTTTGGGATGCATTGTTATTGCATTTGGCTAGGCAGGGGACCACTCAGGGGTTAACGACTGGGTCCAACTCCGAATGCAAGTTGAGCGACTAGAGACTCGAATGACCCACAGTGACGTCGACTTGCATAACATGGTGCAGAATTCGGCAGCACTCCGCCCGACCCACCCTTGTTCTGACAACTTCAGGGAAGTACCGTTGCCCTTCTCCTTCCTTTTGCTATTAGTTTATCACATTGAGGGCAATGTGTCATTTAGGTGTGGGGGGGAGATCAGTTGGGATGCTAGTATTTTTTTTTTTGTTTGTAGTTTCTAGGGGCTTGTCCTTTAGTTTTTGCCTATCTTTCATTTATTTTCTTTTCTTTTTCTTTCTAGTGGTCAGTTCTTATTTGAATACCAAGTTTGATGTTGGATTGTTGTTTCTAATTCTGCTATTGCCAAGTTTATTAATAAAAAGATATTAAGTTAATGTGGTTGAGTTCAGGGATTTCTCTTTGGTGAATATCAATAATTGCTTAACTTTTCCAATTTTTGGTTAACTTTTCTAGGCATAGGGAATGATTGTTGGCATTTTTCATGTGAATTGGTCCAGTTATTAATTTTAGTTCTCCATGTTTGAAAATGAGGCTAGCTATGAATAAGAGTTTTTGTGTTATTAGCTGTGAATAAGAGTTGACTGTACTCCGCTAGTCTTTACTACTGAGTAACCGGGGATTTTCACCTAAAAGTGTTGATTCTCGCGTCAAAAAGTAATAATTGCTATGAGTACGTGGTCACGTGGCGATGGAAGCTGAGTAACCGGGCTCCTTCATCTGGCCAATGTTGGAGTTCGCGTCAAAAGGCTCAAATGGCTAGCGACTAAGTCTTTTGTTACTATTGAAGAAAAAAATAATCAAAAAAAAAGAAGAGAGAGAAAAGTAGAAAAAAAAAGTGAAAAAAAAAGTGAAGGTTGTGTTAGTGTGTAATAAAAGTCAGCTTGCCGAATTATGGGTTTAATGTTGAGATTTTGGTTAATAGCTGGACCATTTACTGATAAATGTGAGCAACCATTCCTTTTTCTTAGATTAGTTTGCTTTAAATTGGAGAAGTTGGTGGTTGGAAAGCTAACCGGAGTGGTCTTTCTTGGATCTTAACTATGATGCTTGATATATGTTTTACTGGGTACCTTGGCAATACGGTAGTTGGAGCAATAACCATTATTAAATTTCGGTGTCTGTGTACTTTTTCCATGCTTGAGGGCAATCATGATTCAGGTGTGGGGGGAATTGATAGGGTGTTAATTGTTAGTAATTTTATTGTTAATTTCCCCCTTTGTCCTTGCCAAATATTGTTTTAATTGTTGATATATACTCATTTTTTGTATTTGGACCTATCTACAGGAAGTAGAACTGAAAAATGCTAAAAAGGGAATTTTATTGAGGAAAATCCTCCACACCTTAGAGCCTCCAGCAGATATACAAGTCGGGCCCATATGGTGCTACCAAAAACTCCATTTTCGGTTGCTGATGGAGAGCTCTCATTATCGGTAGTTGGCTTGTACGTGTAGGAGTCCTCCTACCAAAAGGAAACAAGAAGAGTGGAATTGGCAGGAGCTTTCCTCTTGTACTTGGACTTCCAATTTATTCGGTGGGGACCACAGGAAAAAGAAAGGCATTAGTCATTGGACTTTGGAAGGAAAGAAACGTAGGAAGCTTTGAGAGTTGTTTTTGTTCCTTATTTGTGGGGACCACGGAGAGAAGTGAAGCAATTTGTTTTAGATTAGGAGACAATTCTTTTCCTTTGGCCGCGGCTTTATCTTTGGGGAATTGAGAGTTTTTTTTAGGATAGTTTTAGTTTTGTTTCTTGCTTGGCTCTTTTGATGGCCTGGACCTCATTGGAATGACTTGAAGATTTTCTCATGAGGTGTGGCTAAGTTTGTCTAGTCAAGAACAACGGAGGATTTGGTTCTACTAAATTTGTGAGATTGAATTAGTTTTTATTTATTTCCATTATTCACTGGTATTTGTCTATCTTCTGTTTTATGTTCATATGGTTGTTTTATTATTCGATTATCCAGGGCCCGGATTCTAGATTAATTCAATAACCTGAAGCCAATTAGGATAGTTAAATCCGTAATTGTTTAATTATTCTAAACTGGTGGCAACTGGCATGATTGGGTTCGTGTCAGGGGGATAGACAGGCTAACTTAAAGAGACCCTCGTAGCGTGTTGATTGGTTAGAATTAGGCTCTTCTAATTATTCATGCAATTAGGGAATTGAACTTCTATGGTCGTACCTAGGGTTATTTCCTGATTAGAGAAATAGTCAACGGTCGTACCTTGGCTATCGACAAATTGAGGAAGAGTTGGTTGTTTATCGCGTGTATGACAACTATAACTAATTTATCAGATAGTAATTGGAATAATCCTTGCATCTGTGATCGAATTAAGTGAACCATCTCTGAAGTTGTCTCTTGGCTAGAGTTCGTCCATTATTACTTTTATTGTGATAATTAGTTATTTGAGTTGTAGTTATTTTATTTTATTTTAATTCATTCCAAGTAATTTAGTTACTCTCATTTTCAAAAACCCCCCATATCTGGAACTTGAGAAGAAATTAAATTATCCCCAGTCCTTGTGGATTCGACCCTGCTTACCGCTACATACAGAATTTGTATTTTATTTGAGCAGGTATTTATTATTGCACAGGTTCGGCACCTGTCAATTTTTGGCATCCAAGTGTACATTACTGTGATAAGCTGCGGCTCATTGCATTTGAATTCTTGCATGAGAGATGATGAACTTGTGGAATTTATAGACTTCATTCTACAAAATTTGGTGGATCTGCTAACTGTTATGTCATCTGGTTATGGGGCTTTGCTTGCTCAACTTCGCGCCCTTGAAAAAAAGCTAACATTCTTGAAAAGTTTCATTCTCTTTGCCAAATTGCGAGGAACGGTAGATATTCCTTCCTTGCTATTTACTCACATTGAAGTCGTGGTGTTGATCGCAGCATGCCTCTCTTACATGTGTTCCCTCTGGGACGATGCTGAGGCAATGTACAATCCTGAGCACTGCTCTATCATATGTGAACAACTGGAGATGATCAAACCAGTTGATATTCACGTCTATGAGATTTATATGCAAGTTCGTAGAGCCTCAAGCACCTCAGCATCTTTACATACTACGATGATGGATCAACAGATATTGAACAACTTCAATGATTCTCTGATAAGTTGTCTCTGGGACCTATTATGCTGCAGTTCTAGCTTTATGGGTTCAGTAAAAGATGAAATGCAAATACTCGATGCTGGATTGAGATTCTTCAGAAGCATATTAAAGGAGCCAAAGGAGCACATGGATGAGCTGAATGAAAAAATTGGAGCTCTCCTCACTGAGGCAGGGATCATAATATGCCTACTTTTGCTCAACAGAACGAAAGAAGGAGAGCCTGACTCCTTAGAGTCCACAAAGGCCCTTGATTTTTATGATATGTTGGTTAATACCAATATTCATATCAAGCATGTTAAGGATCAGATCAGTGGCTCAAGCATTATAGGGAGTCCTCCTTCCAATCATAGCTTCCAAGAACAAGGAGGTTGCAAGCCTTCCAGCCATATGCCATCAGAAGGTAAGAAACCAATAACCCATGAAGTCATGGTTGGTCTTGATGACGAGGCAGAAAAAGTAATTGATCGACTTATAAGCGGACAAGAACATCTGGAAATTGTTCCCATTGTGGGAATGGCAGGGCTTGGTAAGACAACTTTAGCCAAAAAAGTTTACAATGACAATTCAATTATCTATAACTTCCACATTCGTTTTTGGTGCACTGTTTCTCAAGAATTTAACGTGAAAAAGTTGCTACTTCAAATTTTGCACTCTGATGGAGAGAATGAAAAGCTCGAATTTCTGGATGAAGATGAATTGCTTCAAAAGCTCTATCAAAAGCTGAAAGGAAATAGGTATCTCGTTGTTTTTTATGATATCTGGGACATCAGAGCATGGAATGAATTGAGGTACTCTTTTCCAGATAACAACAAGAGAAATAGAATCCTCTTCACTAGCCGATTCTCTAATGTGGCTTCACAGGTTGAATATGGTGGCCAACCTCACAATCTTCGCCCGCTCACTGAAAAAGAGAGTTGCGAATTACTGCAGAGGAAAGTATTTGGAGAGGAAGATTGTCCTCAACCACTATGTGGGTTTGGGATGGAAATTGCCCAAAAATGCAAGGGACTTCCCCTTACTGTTGTTGTTGTAGCTGGAATCCTAGCAACTATAGAGCATGAGGTATGGGCTTGGGAAGAATTTTCTGAAAGGTTGACTTTGACCATGGTGTCTAGCACAGAATTGTGCAAGAAATCATTAGAGCTCAGTTATGAATATTTGCCATATCGTTTGAAGGTGTGCCTGCTTTATTTTGCTGCATTTCAAGAAGATGAAATAATTGGTACGAAGAACTTGATGCGTCTGTGGATTGCAGAAGGGTTTGTGGAAAACGTTGAAGGAAAGAGATTAGAAGACATTGCCGAAGAATATATGATGGATTTAATTGGTCGAAACTTAGTTATGATAAGTGAACGTAGATCCAGTGGTGGAGTCAAATCTTGTTGCATTCACGATTTGTTATTTGAGTTTTGTAAGATCCAAGCCAAAGAAAAGAATTTCCTTCAAGTGCTACGGGGATTTGATGAGCTTTCTACTTTCAATGAGCCTCCCAACCTACCTCTATTGTCCATTTTTTCCAGTGGAGAAGATTTCATAAAGTCGAAACTGTTTTGTCCACATTTACGGACTCTGCTATTCTTCGATCAGACCGCAGCAAGATACTTTCAATTGGCTGATACCTCCTTTCCTTTCAGCATCTACAAACGTCTTAATGTTTTGAAGTTAGACCACATTCACCTGATGCAAGAGGAGCTTCCAGAAGAAGTTGAATCACTTCTTAATTTGAGGTATCTAGCTATTAGAGCTAAGAATATTCCACCATCAATAGCAAAGATCTCAAATTTGGAAACTTTTAGCTTGAAACATTGTAGGGAAGTCACACTTCCAGGTACAATCTGGAGCATGAAAAAGTTGAGGCACCTACATGTAAGGCCAGGCCCCGCGGTTATTGGTCGTTTGCCCAAAGACAACGCGGTTGAAAACTCCTCCACTTTGCTCAACTTAGACACACTTTCCAATCTGGATCTTCCTTTTAATCAAGAAGGAGAAAACATAATGAGGAAGATTCAAAACATCCGCAAATTGAGAATTTCCAGCACAATGGCAGGAAGAAATGTATGCTGCAACATGAGTCGATTAGAAAGTTTGGAATCACTCACCTTACTGTTGATAGACCCCCTCCGTAAAGGCTCCTTGCTTGACTCCCTCCGTAGTCGGAACATTGAGCTTTCTTTACCTATGAGCTTAAAAAAGTTGCTCCTTGCCGGATTGTTTCTCCCCTGTAGTAAAATGCAGTTGATTGAACAACTCCCCAATCTTGAGGTCCTCAAGCTACACCATGATTCATTGTATGGAGGAAGTTGGGAACTGACTAAAGGAGGATTCACTAAACTTCGGGTTTTGACTTTCTCCCAACTGGACATTGTTGAGTGGACAGAGTCAGACCCTGATAGTGATGATTATTTCCCATGCCTTCAGCAGTTAAACCTGGAATTCAGTTGGAAGCTGGAAAAGTTCCCTTCTTGTTTAGAGCGTATATCAACTCTTGAAAAGATTAAGATGAAGCATTGGAAAAGCAATGACCACGACAGAGTTTTATGTTTAGTACGTGGAATTGAAGAGTCGCAGAGGAACTATGGAAATGAGAATCTGAAGATCATCACCCAGAGGATCTACTAGGCAGGATGTTGAAGGGCATCAGCCGGTAAATTCTGAGGTTTCTTCTTCTTCGTCTTCCTCCTCCTCCTCTTCTTCTTCTTTTGGTTGCTTCATACTTTTTTCAACTTTGAGTTGCAGTAGTGCATACATGAGTACGTTGAAATTTAGGGATAAACGCCTTATTATTGCTCTAACCTTTTTTTTTTTTGTTGATATCAGCAGGGAGTGCCATGGTTCTTGGTAGCTTGAGATTATAATTGCTCAGCTGTGTAGCTGTCATTCTATGGTGTGGCTTTCACCATTAATGAGTAGATGGTGAATGGTGTTCCATTGTTAATTTTGTGTGGAAGATGTGGTTTGGTTTTCTTTGTTGCTTGTGTGGATGAAGGGGGTAAGATGTGACTCGTTTCTTTTCAAGATGGGGGGAACAATCAATCAGATCTTAATGCCTTGCACCATGCTATCAAGTCTCCGGGTCACACAGCAGAACAATGGTTTATCAGCTGTGCCTGACAAGACAAATATTTTGCTGTTAGTGTGGAAGAAGAAGACAGCTGAAGAAGCCAAATCCGTGCTTGTATTTTTTTTTCTGTGTATTTTGTGTTGATTAATTTACTATTTCTTTTCAAACTTATGTCAATTTGCTGAATTTGGACAAGGAAAATAGGACAATGTGCCTGTCACTACTGCAAAATGGTTCGGCTTTTCTGTCTTCAGGAAACTCTGCTACTTTTTTTTTTTTTTTTTTTGGCAGAAACTCCATAACTCACACAATTTGAACTAACAACTTGTGTTTGAGATCATGACTATTGGAAGAATGAGATATAGCAATTTGGTACTATATTAGGCTTCCGCCATGAAATTAATACTTAGCAGAATTTTAGTCTACAAGTACATCTCAACAGAACCCTCCATAATCTCCTCCTTTCTGGCCATAAATGCTAAGATCAATGGCATAAAATGGCCTATAAGGGTCAAAATAGCAGTTGGGATTTGCCAGCATATAAGATCAAGAGCAGGACTTCAACAGGTTGTTTTTAGTCCATTGCAGCAGTTGCTCAATATGCAATACTGCTCAACCGTAGTTTTGAACCAAAGAAATCCAACTTTGAAAGTGCAAAAGTTTCCAAATCAAAATTTACTTTATGAACTTGATAAATCCTCTGCTTCTGTTTAGCCTACCAGATCAAGAACCATCATCTACATTTTCCTTCACTAAATCCATGCTAAAATCCCAAAGCCTCCTTGCTAGATCCACGTCCATGGCCTTTGAACTTGGTTTTGATAGGCTGTTGTCCTTGAAATATTCACCACTTATACCCCGGACTTGTGGATGCAATGCTACATAGCAACTTGTTGAAGCACCCTAAAGTAGGGAGGAAGGAAAGCAGAAGAAAACAAAAGGCAATAATAGAGTTAGACATTTCTTGTCATTGAATCTAGTTGGATGGAAATCAATATTCTTCATTGGACTGTTGTTGGTGTGACAAAAGGGATTTGATTCCCTAAAAAGAGATCACTAGACAAGTTATAATATAGGTCTCTGAAACAAGTGGGGGTTCCTTCACAAGAACTATTGTCAACTAACCTAACCTATTTATACTCTTGAAAAAGAATACAGGAAGAATTTCTTTCCATTCCCAAAAGACTGGAGTAGAATTTCATCTGGCTAAATATGCTATGTGAAGCAAGCATTCAGAATGACAGACGCAGAAAGCTTGGCAATAACTTACTTGTTGAACATTTTTTCACAACATATTTAGCCAGATACTTGAAAATAGAAGTGTCAAAATGGATGATTTGGACGGGTTTGGGTTGGGTAAAATGGATAATGGCTATAAGTGAGTCAACCCATTTATACTCATTTAATTAAATGGATATAAATGGGTAAATCAAAAAATGAATTGGGTAACCCAATTACCCATTTATAACAGATTTATTTTAACTTTTTGTAAACTCATTTAAATTCATTTTTGCAAACTAAGTTATCAATTTATACCGCCCTTTGTATCCATCATTAGTTTTAAATATTTGCTTATAATGCTTAATAAGCCTAATTATCAATTTTTTTCCATCCGCACTTTATTTCGCAAAATTACATACTATTTAATAATTGAATAATACGAACATAAAAATTTGAACTAAGTATTATAAAAGTTAACATAAAAATTTAATCCAAAAATTTTGAACCCCTAACATTTTTTTCATGTATAAATTTCAATTTTCATTTTGAAAAGATAAGAAAAGAGGTTAAAATTTATCATAAATTGATAATGCTGAAAAATGAGCAAGTTAACAAACTAAGAGAAAATAAAATGATAAGATAAAACCAACAAATAATAATAATAATAATGATGAAACAAAAGTAGTTAATATCATGACAAAATGAAAAATCTGAAAAAAAAAAATGGATGGGGAAGAGAGTAAACTTGGGAGAAGATCATTCTAAATGGGTTAATTAGGTTTGATGGGTTACCTAATAATACTCATATGCAAAAATTTAAGGTACCCATACTCACCTATTTATGAACGGGTACGAGTAAATTTAGTTAAATGAATTGGTTTACCGCTTATACTTGAAAACACCTGCATCAAAAAGAGAGATGCATGAGACAATGGACAAATCATATTTGAAGAGTTAGGCTTCTTGAAGTAAAAATCAAGACTAAATGCCCAACGGAAGTTGCAGAATTGAATTAGTACCACACTCAAGAAACATGTTAAGATGTTATACGGTTCTAACTTCTAAGCCACTGACTCCATCCACCAGCCAGATGATGATGATCACTAAATGTTTGAACTCGGTAAAATTTTAGAACCCACAAAGGGATTCTCTATTAACCAGATATTGGACGAAAATCTGACCCTTTCTCTGACATTACCAAGCCAGATGCCTTCCAGACAAGGTTAGCTCCTTCCAGACAAGGTTAGCTTAATATGGTAAAGGAGTTTGTAAATGTAGCAGAGGCACTTGAAAATTCATCAAGCCAAACGTATTCCAAGCAGCGGAAAAGTGGGAGGTAAGACAGGGAAATATCTAAAAAAGAAAAAAGAAAAAAAGAAAATGAATAAACCAGAATCTCTGGTATTTTTGAAATTTTCTTGATTCCTGATTTATACATAAAAAATGACAGTATATGGGACACGTGGTGATTTTAGGCTAAAAAGTGGTAAGAAACTTGAGTTGGAATCAAATTTTGTTAAGTTGAATTTGTAAGAGACTTAAAATTAATATTTTAAAAGTAAAGGACGAAAAAATTTATTTAACCAAACGTGAGGCATGTTTTGAACAATTTTCCCTTTTGAAAAATTTGGTGATCATGAGTGCAGTTTGCCTTAGAATTTACAAAATTTGTAGTAGAAAATTGATGCTCAAAACTCATGAATTGGAAATTCACAAACACCAGGGAATTATTTCGTAAAGTCAGTCATCGAGAAAAAAAAATGTTACATATAAATATATAAATGAAACTTTGAGTGCACTGCTTCTATTTCCCTGCCAGATTATAGACCATCATATACAGTTTCCCTCACTAAATTCATGCTAAAATCCCAGAGTCTCCTTGCTAAATCCACTTCCATGGCCTTGGAACTTGCTTTTGATAGGTTATTGTCCTCAAAATATTCACCACTTATACCCTTCACTTGCGGATGCAATGCTACATAGCAAGTTGTTGAAGCACCCTAGACAAATCAGGGGGGCAAGGAAAGCAGAAGAAAACAAAAGACAATGATGGAGTTAGACATTTCTTGTTATAGATCCTTCATTAAATTGTTCTTAAAGTGGCAAAATGAATATGTTTCCTTAAAAAGAGATCACTAGACAAGATGTATTTTAGTCCTCTGAAACAAGTTAAGATTCCTTCACAAGAAGTATTGCCAACTAACCTAGGCATCCTGCTGAAAAAGAATGGTCCAAGAATTCTGTTTCTTCCCAAAAGATTGGAGTAGAATTGCATCCAAATAATATGCTAAGTGAAGCAAACATTTCAAAATGACACACATAAAAGGCTTGATATAACTTACTTGTTGAACATTCTTCATAATATATTTGCCCACATAGTTGAGTAAACCTGCATCAGAAAGTAAGATGCATGAGACAGTCGACAAAATCGTATTTCGGTGTCTTTGGATTGCAATTTTCTAAAGCAAAATTGTCACGTTTTTCGTGAACACATTTTTCAATCACCTTTTTACCTCAAATATATCAAATCGCTACAGTAATTTTTCTATGAAAAATTCAGAAAAATGAAATCCAAACAAGGCTAAACGGAAGATGAAGAAATGAAATACCACCAATCTCAAGCAACATGTTAAGGTGTTATATGGTTCTAACCCACTGCCACTACCCACCAGCTAGATGATGACCACAAAATGTGTTGAACTTACTGAAATTTTAGAACTGAGAAGGGCTTCTTATTAACCAAAAATTGGACGAAAATCAGGCCCTTCTCAGGCTTTAACAAGCCAGATGCCCCTCAAACAAGGTTAGCTTAATCTGGTAAGGAAGTATGTAAAAGTAGCAGAGGCACATGAAAATTCATCAACTCGAAACTATTCTCGCAAAGTAGAATGTAATACTATACGAATTGAACTAAATGGAGAAGTACAAAAAAGACGCACTAGAATAGCACCAAGATGATGACTGTTAAACTGTCAAAACAGATCTGAGGACTCGAGAGTAAAAAAAAGTGGCAGTGTCCACAGAGAGATTTTGATTCGAATTGAAAGACATTCAGCCCAAGTAACTTGGGAATACCTTCAAAAAAGCCGAGTTGACGGAAGATACTGGTTGCAACTACTCCGGGATGAACCGAGTTCGCTGTTATCCCTACCCCATCCTCCTGTTTAACAATCAAATTGCCAAATAATCTCATAGCAGCATTGGATGGCTAAGTACAGAAGTTTATGCAAGAATCTTTAACATCAACGCCAAACACTAATCAATTTAGAACAGACATATTTGTTTGTTTAGAAGACTAACATGAGATCTTTAACGTAGCAACTTTGAGCTGGATGATAAACTTACTGGCGTTGGGAAGAGTTTCAAAGCAATGCAAGAAGTTTCAATTAAAGTTCAAGCATCAGTGATAAAGGCTTTTCAGCCTCTTCAGATTAGTAATCAGAACTTATCACCTTTAAGCGTCTTGCAAGCTCATTAGCATGTAGTACGTTGGCAACCTTTGATTGAAAGTATGCAAAAAAACCGTTGTACCTGCAGAATGTGCCAAAAAAATGGAGAGGTAAATCAGATAATAACCAACATACAACAATTTATTTGTTGAGCCTCACAAATTTCATAATGTAAATATACTAAGATTAGGCAAGCAAATAACAGCAATCTGGAAAAAGGTATCATGAAGAGTCTGATAAATTTCAAAATCAAAGAAAAAAAAAAATAGATACGCACCCTTCTCGATCATTGATCCTATCAAAACGAACACCTTCACGATATGTATGCCGGTGGCCATCGGATGATACAATTACAATCCTTCCCTCTCTCTGAGTTTCGTGATATGTTTTCTTCATAGCGTCCAATAACAGATTAGTCAGAAGAAAATGACCTGAATTACACATAGGAAACAAAAATCAATTACCAAAACAATGGCAATAATGTGGAGGACAGGAGTATGGCGGAGGAGAAGGAATATCAGGGTATGAAGTAGTCCATCATCATTGCATATAACCAAAACATTAAAAAAAAATACAAAAAAAAAACTAAATCTAATTAGTGCTTGCCAATTCACTTAAAAATAATTTAGGAATGGAGTCATTCCAAGCTTGTTTCGCAATATTTTGTGTAAAGAATTGAGAAAAGGAGTTACCTAAGTGGTTTGTGGCAAAATGTAATTCTATGTTGTCCTTGGATAGCGTAAATGGAGTTCCCATGACTCCTGCATTATTACTTGAAATGCAGAAGACAAACAACAGAAAACAATCCAAAAGGATCAAACAACCAGAAGCAAGCACCCAGAAAGTGCAAAACCATGCAAAATAATACAAACATATACCAACAAGGGAAGCTGACATGGGAGAAAGCAAAACATGTTATAAAACAAACAACATTGATTCCACAACACATATGGTATTTGAGTAATCTAAAGAGGGTTGCCGGTGGTTCAACTATTTCCTTACATTAAAATGTTCAATGGACGACCAGAAGAAGTAAACCCTGCTGCAAATTTTCTTACAGATGCAAGTGAACTAAGGTCTAACTCCATGACATCAACTTTGGCTGCAGGGATTTCCTTAACGATTGCATCTTTAACCTCTTGGCCAGCAGTCATATTTCTGACCGCCATTACAACACTGACACCACGTAGAGCAAGAACACGGACTGTTTCAGCACCAATGCCACTTGATCCCCCTGCAATTATTTGTTTGTCACCAGCATTGACCAATCAATAATGGGCAAATTACAGTATAGCCTCCTATGGCTTAGCGTTTTGTTATATAACCCTCCTATAATTTCAAAATTTGTACTTTAGTTACATGTCGTTTGGGGTGCAGTGAAACCCTTAACCTTTTGTAAATTAAATTAGCCAATAACACTTCACTCTTTTTAGTTTTCACAAGAGAAAAAAGGAAAAATTCACAACCATCTCATAACTAAATTTTTTTTAAAAAAAAAAGTAAATAGATGATTGTTTCAGGGAAGCATCATCACATGCAAGATATAGAGTATGCAGCTTATTAATTCAAAATGAAATATAGACGATGCTAAATTAGCTAACTGTAGTGAGAGGTATAAAAGCAAGGACTAATTGCACCTTGCGCGCCTAAGATTTTATTCAGACAGTCAAAACTTTGCATTGGACATATTGCACCCTGAAGTTATTAATCACAGCTATTTTTGTTACCATCAAACTCTAAAGTTCACAAGCTAAATCAACCACAATCTCACACAATCAAAGTATAGCAACAATACGGGCCTACCTAGTATATCATGAATTTGTAACTGCATCCAATTTCCAAAAAAAAAAATTTTCAATTTTGTCGAACTTTCCATTTTTTAACACTAAAACATTTTGCCTATGCAATGCTAGAAGAAGGGCATTAATCTTCAAGAATCTCAAAAACTAATAAGTAAAAGCACACGTTTTATCATTCATGTCATTTCATTAACATTAGAAGCCTCGGAGTGCCTGAATGAAAATTCAAATGCATAGCGTCTAATCTAAAAGTCAAACATTGGAAAGTGCAAGATACACCAAACATCAAGGGTGTAAAGTTGGCCTTTCACCTGTGACAATGGCCGTGAAACCAGAGCCGTCAATCCCAAGTGTGACTTCATCAGCAGTGGAAGAGGATGTAAAACCGGATGGCCCTTTCCTCTCAAACAGCCTCATCTTCCACTTTCTTTCTTTCTTTCTTCTTCAATATCCTCTGTTTCCTCTGTTTTCTTGTATCTTGTATTGTCTGGTGGTGAAGTCCCTTCTCCTTGAAAGCAACTACATTATAAAAACAAGATGGCAAGAACTAGAGCTGGAAATCATGTCAACTAATAAGGATTTCCGGGTCGGTGGCAACTCATGGAGTTAATCATTGCTGAGCAAAAATATAATATACCATCGTTGACCAACAATAGTGATCACTATGGACTCAAGTAGTCCGGACCAATAATGGATTTAGGCTTTGCTCTCGTTTGCGGGACCACACAAACTTTGATTTTGAAAAGTGATCATTTCCATAAATGAGTTTTTGACGTTCTAGATGATTCCATTATCAATCATTATTTTTCTGATATTTTAATGTAAATCATGAGAAGATTATATATAACTTTTGAAATCATAGAAAAGTTATGTAAAAAATATTAAATTATAAGGGGATAAAATGTTATTTACCCAATTATATACTCTCATAATACTGGCGTAATAATTCGTGGTCAAGTGAAACAAAAAAATGTGCACAAGCACTAAATGGTACGGGTGGAGAAGACCTTTCAACATTAGTGTTATTGTCAATTTTTCCTTTAACATCATGTTTTAATTATTTTACTCCGAGGACTAAAGTCTAAAGGTTATATGTAATGACTAATGAAGTTTGTTAATTCAAGTAAAATAACATGTTTAACCCTTATGAGTATTATCATTTTATCCTGTAAATTATAGCATTATTATCAATTTACCCATTCAAGTTAATTTTTATACGCTTTACCCTACTAGTAAACTAACTTAGCATGTTGAAAGATTATAGGCGAAAGTAATTTTCCTCTCTTGTATACCTAAAAAGTAAAAAATTCGGAATATTTATTCTCCTTTTTCTCACCAATACCAAGAAAAAAAGTCAAACTTTTTGCACTCTGTTTTGATCCTTCAATTTTTCGAAAATTAGTTTTGGATTAGCTGTTTTTGGGGGTATTTTTGAAAAATTTTACTGTAGCAGAATTTTTAGAGTATATTTTGGGATATTTTTAGAAAATATTTTGAAATATTTAAGAGTAGTAAAGTTTTTAAAATATATTTTGGGATATTTTTTAAACATTAAAAAAATTTAGATTACTTTTTAGTGAGAGAGAACTCAAATTTGTTAAAAAATAAAAAGACAAATGAAAAAGAATTCAATATTCTCATTATTTTAAAATCACTCCTTACCTTTTCACTTCCCACCCAACTCCAATCGTAATGATCTTAAAGTAATGATAATTCTGGATTCTTCTTATTTTCTTTTGTTTTTTAAATTCAAAATTGAGTTTTCAATCTTTCTCTCTTCTATCTGTTTTTTTTTTTTTTGGTATCAATAAAAGTCAAGAAAAATCCTTTTACTTTTATTTTTTTGGTACTCTTAATGTGAAAACAAAAAGGTGAATGATCGTTCCAACTCTTTTATTTATTAAATTATGTATAAGAGAAGGGTAATTCCATTCACAAATTTTCTACACACTGAATTGAGTTAACGATGGAATAAAATAAATACCTACAAAATAATATTAAAGGTAAACCGATAGTAATGTTATAATTTAAGAGGTTAAAGTGATAGCAACACTATAGTCGTGGTGGAAGAGAGAAGTTTATTTTTATCCACAACTTTTTAACATACAAAGTTATCTTAACGGCGGTGGTAAAGTAATTAAAAAATCACATTAGGAAATAAATTTGATAATAATGCTACGGTTTAAGGAGTTAAAGTGATTTTTTTTTTTAACTCAAAAGAGATTTCATTCACAACAAATTTGCAGCAGCAGCATCAATGACACTCTTGGGAAAGTTTACAAGCCAGACTCTTCTTCCCTCAAGAGATAATGACAACTTAGACAAGATGTAGGCCGGAACATTGTTTGCCCTCTTTACATGAACCACTCTGATAAAAATCAAAATCATTTAACATAGATCTCATGCCATGAATCAAGTTACCTAACAAAGATAAGTCAGGCGCATTGCTATTAATCTTCTGAGCAATGCTAAGAGCATCATCTTCCATTATAAAGTGCGCAATACCAAAATCCCTTGCGAACTGTAAAGCTTTGAGAAAAGGTAGGCACTCCATATGGTCTGCGCTTAAAGCTTCAGTAATCCTTTCAGCGATTGCTGCCTCCACTTGGCCTTGGTGATTTCTCACCACTAGACCCATTCCTGCTCCCTCCTCAGAGAAGGCTCCATCAACATTTGTTTTAAGCAGATTTTCATCCGGTGATGACCACTTGCTATGTTCCTGGTACCCGTGTAAGCTTTTGCTGATTTACAAGTTCCATCCTTTGATGTGCAAATTCCAATATTCCTGTAGGAAGGCCCTTGCATGCTCACCAATTTGGTCTGTGTCCTCATCATTTTCCTTCAAAAATCTTCTGGTTTCGGCTTTTCCATATTATCCACATAGTTACAGCTACAAGCTCTGCTGATTGTTTTCCTTCTGAATGCGAAAGACAGTCAAACCAATCCTTAAAATTTGTGGCCCAAGGCTTACATGTTGATTTGAGAATTCCCAGCCCAAGCCATACTTCCTGAGCAAAAGAACATTCGAAGAATATGTGCCCCGTCAGTTTCCATTTCACAGCCACACCACTTGCATCCTTTCACCTATCCCTTTAGTCTGTGGCTGCTAGGTTCTGTCCAGTTGGCAAAATGCCAGAGCAAGCCCACCTCCATATTTGTGTTTGAATTGCATTTTCCATGATTTTTCATGGAAAAATTACGGTAGCGATTTAACATATGTGAGGAAAAAAGATAATAGAAAAATATGATCACGAAAAATAACGTAATTTTCCAACAAAAAACTGCAATCCAAACAAGGCCTTAACATTTTAACCTTCGGAGGAATGTCCAGTTCAGTCCCTTAGGATTTTTCTTGAATATCTTCGTATCCCCTTTCCTTAATATAGAGTAAGTGTAGGTTTATCGTGCCAAAAAAAAAAAGGAGGAATGTCCAGGTTCCAAATTTTGTGCCAAAAGCGATTCTCATTTCTGCTTGAAGATGCGCTTACACCACCTTTGTCAAAGGCTTCCAAATATCATTGCCCTTCCCTATTATAAGAGTTAATATTACTTTTAATTTATTATACTAGGGGAACTAGTAATTACTTGGTTAATAAATCAAGTTACTTTTTGGTTGGCCCAATGACAAAGGGAGGGCTTTTAGAGTCACTTCAAATCGTGTGTCACGGATTTTGTCTCCGTTTCGTCTGTCTCATCTTTGTTTAACTATCATGTGTATTAATTAATAACACTTAGAATTTTGTTGTGGATAAATCTAATGATCAATAATTCTTAAAATTCTATTAAAGAATAAATCCAAGAGTACAATACAAGTTGGCAGTTAAACAAAGACGGGGATAGACGAGAAAAAGACAAAAAAATAAAATTCGAAACAAATGATTTGAAGTATTTTTAGATATCTCTTTGTTTTCAGGTTCAATATTCGAATTTTAGACCTAATACCGGAGGATAGGGGGAAAGATGGGATCGAAGGCCAAAAATAAAAATAAAAAAAAAAGTTACTTTTTGGTGCTTTAGAGACTCGTATATGCTGAGTACCAAGATCGAACTAGCTTTTTAATAATCACTGAAATAACTTTTATCACGAAATTAGCTACAGGCTCGCACAATTTTAACTTTTAACCATCATTTAATTAGAGCTTTAACCATTGGGGAAGACAAGATGCACTAATTTAACAACCGGTAAAGGCTTAAACCGTCCCTTAAATTAGCTTTAAGCAGTGGGGAGGACAAGACGCATTGCTTTAATTCTCACTAAATTAGCTTTAATTAATAACGGGTTAAAACAAAATCCACATAGACTAATCGTGAGAGAAGGAACTTTTTTATTTGTCTCCCATGGAAGGAGTTCAAGAGAGATATTGTGAGGGACCATATAGTGTATATGGGCCGAGTTCAGCCCATTTATTCACATGAGTTTGGGCCATTGAAAGTTGACAAGGTTTACAATTTCTTCTTATACTCCGTAAGAAAATTTCAACCCATCATAAAATTACTAATTGGATTCATAAAAGTGAAAGATTTTCAAAAATTTTTGCATTACCACGAGCTTATGGTTAACAGCAACATCACTCATTAGTTTTAACCACTTAAATTATGACCAAAATAAAAGAAAAACAAATTATAAGATTTAATTCCCATACAAACCAATTACTGACGTTGACGGTCTAAAAATAAGTATTATTGAGATTACGTCTTTTGTTTCAATCGATTCTGTCTCTCTGATTCTCCAACGCACACTCAGAATTTGAAAATACTGTTTTAGATATTACTATTTCTTTTTCAATTTTTTCGCCTCCAAAAGGTTAAAAAGTAGAGATTCAAAGTAAATCAAAAAGAGGAGTTTTTTTTTTTGGAATCAAAAGTTGAAGTCGGCGTTAGAAAACATTTGATAACATCAAATTAGAATTTAAATTATATAGGAGTACTTTTTAAGGTTTTATCTGGCTAGGTGCTTTGAACCTTAGCTAAGCCATGAAGGAAAAAAGCCCAATTGTCCCCATCAACTTAAACCACCTTCCACCAATCACCAACCACCACCTTCTTCCCCCATAATCCAATCCAACCCACTTTCCCACGCACTCTCCTCAAACTCGTGTCCCGTCCTCCAGAACTCGCGATCTTAAAAAACGTATCATGTCTACGTGTTTTATCAAGAGTTTGGTACCTGGTTCCTAGCTCGTAATTACCAATTCACCCTCCCGTGGTGTTGTAGGAAACTTCGGCTTCTACACGCGTCGGTTTCTTATTTGTCTTCTGTAGTGGATTCAAACGCTAGTGAGGGCGTTTGATTATTCCCTCCCTGTTCTTCGTATCGAGAAGAAAGTGACCGATGTTTCTACCATTCCAGTTCTCTTTACAATTTTAACCTTCCAAAAGAACGAAATTTAAGCTGTTTCTAATTTTTTTTTTTGTTTAAGTGTCTCTAATCTTGTAGAAGGTGATTTTTATTAGAATTAATTCTTAAATTTTTTGAATGAGAGATTATTTGCAAAAATTATTTGATTACATCATAAATACTATTTTCAAAGTTTTTTTTAAATATTTTTAACAATCTTTTTTTTCTTAAATATGTCACATTACAAAAAATATTACAATAATCATTTCAAAAATATCTCCAAT